GTCAGTCTAGAGTTAGATGTTGAAATGTGTGAATATTGTTTAGTGATTGATAGTTGAATTGTTTGAATGATGGATATAAATGATGCTTATGTGTGTTTCTTTGATAAACTAACTTACCCTTTTTTTGTGTTTGTATTTGTTCATCTCTTGGGTTACAATGATCATATTCATGATGTGGGCAGATGATAAGCTATCTCTAGATTAGATGTTAAGTGGCGATGATGGTGCAAAAGACTTGTCTTAGACTTCTTAGTTGTTGATGTTGTGTATATGTTTATATTTTAGTGTAGTTTCTTTTGATAAACTTCTACCTATGCTTTAACTCTCAAGTGTTAAAGAGTTGTGTTGAATAGTAGTTTATCTCTTCTCCTAGTATATGTTATACTATTATGGTTACTCTTGGATAACTATAAAAGTTCATATATGTTTTTCTTCTGACTGTTCTAGTTTTATTGACGTGTGAGCTATCCTACAATAGTGTTAATACTATTACAACATCCATTATCACCATTATCACCATCCAATTGCTTTCTCCCTTCCTCCACACTTCGTCCGCCACTCTCCTTCCTTTTTTTCTTTCTTTTTTCGATCTGCACTGCACCCTTCCCATTTTGCTTTTATCATTCTACACTATCGCCACTGCTTTCACGTTGCCATTACCCTTTCATCCCTTCCCTTCTCTCAAATTTCCTCCTCGTTGTTGTTGTTACGACCACCACCAATCTTTTTCCTCCCTTTTCTTCCCATTGCGAATGTGCAAGGTTCGTTCATCATTTTTTTTCTTAATGCTTGGTGTCTAATGCATTGTTTCTGTATTTTTGTTCAGGTTTCTTAATTCCCCACTTACTACTCCAAACATTTGAAAACCAAGCTATAAGTAGTTTCACGCTCCCAGGTTCATAAATTTTATTTATTTATTTTTACATATGTTTTTAATATTTTTTTTTTGTATATTTATATTAAAGTATTTCTTTTATGTTTAATGTATTTTTTTCATGTTTGATATATGTTGTATTATTTATTTTTTTATAATTTGTAATATGCTTATATTTTGTTTATGTGATATTGTTATTGAGTTAACCTTAGTTTTTCGTTTGAAATTTAATATAAAAATTATGTATTATCAGTTTTATGAAAAAAAATGGAACTTTTTAAAAACACATTATACACATATGACTTGTCACATCCACCCCTCTTTTGTACAAGTTGAAACTCCATTAACTAGTAGTTTCCATGGAAAGTTAAAGTGGATGGTAAAGTTTAAATATTACAAAATTGTCAAAAAATATTAGTGTCTGCATCATTATTTTATTTCTAATTTTGTTGTATGTTGATTTCTATTAATTAAAAATGACAAGTGTATCGGTCGCACCTAACAAGTAATAAATATAGTTCTCCCCATAAGGACTAACACATGACAACTATCACAATTCACAACTTAATTAAACGACAAAACACAATAAAACACAAAGAAACTCTTTTTGTATTTTTATCAAACAATTGGAGTGCAAGGAGAAATGAACATAAAATATTTACAAATGTCAATACTAGATTTCATCAACTTCATTCTCATGCATATACAATAATTTCAATTCTAAATTCATGTCAAAATCAACTCACAATATTACTCAAATCCTATATCTAATGACTTTGAGTTTATGATAACTTATCAAGTTCCAATTCCTTGAATCCTCAAAGAGCAACCATGCATTAAGTTCAAGAGTCTTAGTTGCTCTAAAATGATATTTTCTTATTTGAAACATGCTTCCTTGAGTCTTAACTTGTTTTCCTCCACTACAATGCTTCTTATTCACTTTGCCTAGTCTCCATTTCTCGTAACCTAATAAAGCTAAATTAAACACTTCTAAGTCTCTCACATCTAACTCACCCTCTTCCTTAAGTAGTGAATCAAACTTCGTTCCTAAATATCAATTTCATTAGATATTTTGTTTCAATTCTAAATTAAAAATTATAATTTTTCTCCAATTATGGATAATTAAACCACAACCAACATTAAACATAAAAACTAAATACTAAAGTCAAATAAAAGTTTGATATAAAAACATTACCAAATACATAATAATTTAGTTGATTACATCTAACCTCAATAAAATGAATAATTTTTCATTGTCATAAGAACCTAAAAAGAAAAAAAAAATAACAATGAGAGAGGATTGATAATTAAAGAGGAGAATAAAGGACTAAAAAAACCCTAACAACCCTAAATGTCTTCAAAATTGTGTTCACCACTTTAGAATTACCAAAAGACCCCCTTTCCTTTAAAAACTAGGGAGAAATTAGCCATAGATGCCATGCCATCAAAATTGGTGCCCAATGCCACATGTTATGAGCTGAGCACGTGCACTTAAACGAAAATGGTGCTCGGCACGAGTAAAGTTGCACTCAGAGCGAGTTTTGTGGTGCTCAGTTCATATCACCACTAAGAGTTAGTGTTTATAAACTTGAGGTGTGCCTTTTCATGACATTGGGCTTGATTCATGTGGCACCCAACATAAACTTCATCATACTATATATTGAAAAAAAAATTCAAAAGTTTTTAAAATAGGTTTCAACTCTTATATTTAATGTTTTGACTTAGATGCATTTTATATGTAATAAACACAAGATAGAGTTACAAGTAGACATCTTAAAGTGGTAAAATGTTGAATTGAAACTCATCCTAAGAATGATTTTGACACAACATTATATGTTCAATCCACAGTTGATAGAACAACTAATGAGTTTTAAAAGAAAAAACATGTCCCTAACAAAATATGTTAGATAAGACAAACATCTTAAAAAAAAGCATCAACATAAAGACAAACATCAATGGTCCAATTTAGGAAGTTTATAAAAGGAAGTTTTTGCAGGGAGAATCAACTTAAAAATGTATACGACATACCACTATGTAAATTCTTACATAAAGAAAACCGTAAAGCTTTAAGTCCTAAGTAGAATCATTGCATGTTATAAACAAATTTTTAGAGATGATTTATACTTATAAATTCTTTACTCAATAAAGTTAAAATTCTAGATAAAAGGTTTGTAACACCCTCTCAGTTAGAATTTCCTCGTAAACACAAAATAACTTGTTATTTAGTCTATAAAGACTTGTGAAGTTAGTCTAAAGAAACGTATACCCAATACATCTTAAGAAATTATTAGTAAATAAGTTAGAGAGACTCGTACTCTTATAAATAAATAAAAGTGAGTGACAAAGCATACTACTCAAAATTATATGTAATTAGTGAAAGATTTAATCATACATATAGTTTCTATTTTTAGTAATTTTTCTCAGATAAGGCTCTTGCTTATTTTTTGTCTTAATTGGGTATTTACTTTTGAAAAGATGAAGTAATTAGGTTATTGTCGTTAGTTTCATACTAACACGGTTAAAGAGGATATCACGCGTCAGTTTGTATTTTTTGAATTTTTAAAATATTTTTAGTTTAAAATTTTTTTAAAATAAAGAAGTATCACGTGTTAAGCTCATATGTGGTATCTGACAATGACAATATGATGTGATACTATTAGTACAACGTGTCATTGTCATTGGCAAACTATATGTCATTGTATTAGTCTCAACTTGATTCCTGTATTTTGATTTTGTCTTAATTCAGTTTCTATATTTTTATTTTGTCTCAATTTATGTTGGGTACAAACAAAGTCCCACATCCGATAAAATAAGAGATGGACATGGGTTTATATACACATAAGATACCTCCATTGCTAAGAGGCTTTTTGGAGTGATACCAAAAGCAAATCCGTGAGGGTTTGGCCCAAAGCGGACAATATCTTATCAGTATGGAGATCTAAAAAATAAATAAATAATTTTTTTAAAATAAAAAATTGGAGAAAATTTCATGAAAATTTTACTTAATATAAAATAGGTTTAATAGCTTTAAGTTGTGTCACATCATCATCCATTAATTTTGTTAACTTATATTTAACAGAAAGGACCAATCTGACCCACTATTTTAAAAGTTAGGACTAATTCAAAACACTTTTATAACGAGGGACTAAATTGAGATTTTTCAACGAAAATGAGGACTAAATTGGCTATTAAACCTATAAAATATCATAGAAGAAGAAACAAAAGTTCTAATTAATATGGAAGATCATAGAAGAAGAAACTATCTTCAATTACTCTTCTCATGAAAAATTTCTCCATTTTTTTTAAAATGTGAAATTTCACATCAATGATATGAAATTTCATTTTCAGGTCAATAATTTGTTCATTGAGTCTCATCATTTAAAAATTCCACATGTCATGTCACTGTTTTTTAAAGAACATAATTATCCTTTATATAATTAACTAAATATAAATATAAATAAATTTAATATTGTTAAAAATATTTAATAAAATTATCAATTTTAATAAAAATATTTGTAGATATTTATATACAAATTAAATTTTGTTTGAATTTATCAAAAAACAAAATTGTTTAATTTTTAAAAAAAACTAAGACTAAATTGAGACAAAATAAAAATACAATACAAGACTAAATTGAGATAAAAATAAAAATATAGAGACCAAATTGAGACTAATGCATGACACGATGACATGAGAATGACAAGACAAATTTTTTATTTTTTTAAATAAATTAAAAAGTAAAAATAATTAAAAATATTGAAAAAGTTAAAAAGAACAACACATCAACTAACATCTCTTTAACGGTAAGGAACTAATAGTAATGATTTAATTGTTTTAATTTTTCAAAATTAAAATTTAATTAAAATAAAAAATAGGTGGAAGACTTATTCCAGACAAAAAAAATTACGTGTACGATTAAACCACAGTGAAATGGTTGGGCGGGATAACTAGACGAAGGGAAGGGTATAAAATTAGAAAGTTCGCTGCTTTATTGTATAAACCCATTTAAAGAAAAAGCTAAATTAATTTTTTAAAATATAATGAATAAGATTTAATTAAAAACCAAAATAAAGGGCTAAAAAATATATTTTTTTATTTATATAAAATCCTTTAATGAAACCAATGCAAAGGGTGTGAATTATCTGTAACCAGTGACAGATCCAGGGAGTTCCGGCGTCGAGTGGCAAATGGCGCAACGCGGGTGGTCGGAAATGTTGTGCATAGCCACTCTATTGTTATGCGGCGGTTTTGCAACCTCCTTTTCCACGGACCCTCCGTTGCTCCAACAACAAAAGGACCGGGTCGGTACGCTCCCGGGTCAAACCTTCAACGTTAGCTTCGCACACTACGCTGGGTACATCACCGTCGATGAAAATGCTGAGAGAACACTCTTCTACTGGTTCATCGAGGCCCTTGAAGATCCTCATTCCAAGCCCCTTCTTTTATGGCTCAATGGAGGCCAGTTCAATCTTACTCTTCACTAGCTAACTATTCACCTTTGTTTTAGTTCTTCTGCTACTACATATAACATTGTTAACGATCGATTGACACGAAATCAAACATTTGGTGTTCATGCACGCAGGACCTGGTTGTTCATCCATTGCTTACGGACAGTCCGAGGAAATTGGACCCTTTTATATAAATCCAGATGGCAAGACTCTTCATCCCAATCCCTATTCTTGGAACCGAGGTGAGGTGTCCCCAACCTTCCTTTTCCACTTTCAGGTCATGTTGGGAGAAACTTTTCCGTACAATTTTGTAGGAGAGAAAATGTAAAGAAAAAAAAATTGTTTTGGAAGAGTTATGAGAAAACTTATCTGAGAAGAAAACATAGAAGATGAAAGTTGAAGAGGTTATATTATATGAGAACAGTTGTATTACTTAACCACTTTTTTGTTTTTTAGTTGCCAACGTTCTTTTTCTTGACACTCCTGTTGGGGTTGGATTTTCATATTCAATTAACGGATCCGACCTGCTGAACAATGGCGATAAAAGGACAGGTAGTGCAATTTTCATTCAGCTTCCTGTTTCAGGTTCACATTTGCACATGTATACACACATAAGCATATTAGGAGATAGCAGGGATCTTTACCGTTCAGTGATTATTAATATTGGTTTTGGTTAAATCAAAGAAGATTGAATGGTTAAGGTTAACTCCCCTACAGCTGTCACCTTATATTGCTACGTATAAATTTGTGCAAGTTAAATTAATCAAGCTTTTTGTGCAGCTGAGGACAATTTAGCATTTCTGCTGAAATGGTTTGAGCGTTTCCCTCAGTATAGAAGAAACGACTTTTTAATTGTTGGTGAGAGCTATGGAGGTAAACAATGTTGCTCAGCTTAAGTTTGTGCTCAAATTGAAAGTAATTGATATTCTGATCTTGAGATTTTTCTGTTTTTCTGTTTTGTTTCATTGTTTTTTTTTAAAGTCATTGTTTGCTAGTAGTGGTTATGTTGTCAACTGAAATAGATTTGGCACTTCAATACTGCTCTGTTTGTTTTATGTGTATGTTCGAGTTCTTTGATTTTGGTCTTAATAGATTTTAACATGCTCTAATTCATATTGTTCAATCATTAATCTCATGTATCAGGGCATTACGTTCCTCAACTTAGCCAAGTTATTGTTAGGTACAACTCAGCTAGTAAAGAAAATGCTATAAATCTGAAAGGTTTCATGGTATGGGTTCTAATTTTGCATAAAAATAAATATTTGATTTGTGTCACTTCTTATTATTAGTTTAATCTATATATCTCTGCTGCAGGTAGGAAATGCTCTGACGGATGATTATCATGATCAATTAGGGATGTTCGAGTTTATGTGGTCAACTGGTTTGATTTCGGATCAAACATACAAGCTTTTGAACCAACTTTGTGATTTTCAATCAGTTGAACACCCGTCACATGCTTGTGATAAAATTTGGGATATTGCTTATAACGAACTTGGAAATATAGACCCATACAGTCTGTATACACCACCGTGCCATGGCAATGTTAGTCAGCTAAGTGGGCTGGTGAGAAGAAAGAATGTAAGTGTGAATATATTTTAAATATGATTGTACAGTGCACGTGACAGGTTTGTAGTACATATAATTATTATTGTTGTGTTATGTCATGCTACAGAGAATTGGTAGACTCGGTCTCAATGCACCATATGATCCATGCACCGAAAGTCACTCCACTGCATACTTCAATCGACCTGAGGTCCAAACAGCTCTTCATGTTGATCTAGATCATAAGCCTGCTACATGGGATACCTGCAGGTAATGATCACTTGAGAAGCACTTGAAAATTTTCTATTTGCATCCACAGTATTTGATGCGAATATAAAATGATTTGATTTAAAACAAAAATATAGAAGGAAAAACAGAAAAGTGTAAGCTCCAAATAAGGTTTATGTGAACTGGGATGGGAAAGGCTTTAGAATGTCACAGGTGAAAATATTCTGTCTTGCTTTCTCTCCTATGGCAACATCCACCCTAAATTACTCTAGTGATCCCTTACCGTCTCCACCACACTGGACATATCTCATTCACCTTCTCTCCCATATCCATGCAATTTTTTCATCATTTCGTTGCTGCCAAGTGTTTGTTTGAGACACAATGGCACATTTCTCTTGAATAACTTTGCCCTACTCTTTGACTACATTTCTTAACTCATTCTCCGTCACCATGATTTTGTATGGTACTTAATACTGATCAATGTATGAATGATGTCATCGTACATCCTTATCTGTACAAAGCCTACACCAATTGTCTTACAAGAAGTATCTCTGCCCACCAAAATGTTATAACCTTTCAACTAATCAAATATGGTAAACCAGTCCCTTTGAGGACTCATGTGGTTCAACACCCACCTATCAAATCACTGTTGTCTTGAGACAATGCTCAACACGTGATCATCACAAATGACTCCACTTTCTGAGCTATAGTTGCCACCTAATCCTATTTTCCCAATATTGGACAATCTATCTTCTAATGCCCCGACTGCTTGCAATATATGTAAGCATCTTTAGGATTAATCTATCTTCCTCGACTTTTGGATGTTGGGTTTTTCTTGAAGAACACCAACCCAAAAGAAGACGCATTTTCTACTCTCTCAAATGTTAAGGCGAAACTGCCTTGTCTAGAGGCTAGACTTCACCTCTTCATGCGTAATGCAATCCTTTCCTATACTCAAAAGAACTTGCCAAGTTCTAGTAGGATGATGAGCATTATCAGTGCATCTTCATCTTCTACCTTGATATCGATGACTTGGAGCTGCTCCATCTAGATTGAATTGAATTCATCAAGATGAGCCTCGAGTACACACTCTTCTGTTGGGAATCCAAGTGTGAGTCTAAGTCCCACATTAAGTAAAAATGAGAAAGTTGAACACCATATAAGGATGAAAACCCATAAATTCATTGTCTTAAGGTTTTGGGTTGGAGGTAGTGCTAATCCCTTATGTGTGGATTGGGCTCATGTCTCATTGAGTTGTATCTCTATGTGATCTCTCTCTCGAAAGACCCATTAGTGGTATCAGAGTCAAATGTTTGTCTTGGTGACCGGCTCGAACAAGTTCCTATATCGAGNAGTGCAATTTTCATTCAGCTTCCTGTTTCAGGTTCACATTTGCACATGTATACACACATAAGCATATTAGGAGATAGCAGGGATCTTTACCGTTCAGTGATTATTAATATTGGTTTTGGTTAAATCAAAGAAGATTGAATGGTTAAGGTTAACTCCCCTACAGCTGTCACCTTATATTGCTACGTATAAATTTGTGCAAGTTAAATTAATCAAGCTTTTTGTGCAGCTGAGGACAATTTAGCATTTCTGCTGAAATGGTTTGAGCGTTTCCCTCAGTATAGAAGAAACGACTTTTTAATTGTTGGTGAGAGCTATGGAGGTAAACAATGTTGCTCAGCTTAAGTTTGTGCTCAAATTGAAAGTAATTGATATTCTGATCTTAAGATATTTCTGTTTTTCTGTTTTGTTTCATTGTTTTTTTTTAAAGTCATTGTTTGCTAGTAGTGGTTATGTTGTCAACTGAAATAGATTTGGCACTTCAATACTGCTCTGTTTGTTTTATGTGTATGTTCGAGTTCTTTGATTTTGGTCTTAATAGATTTTAACATGCTCTAATTCATATTGTTCAATCATTAATCTCATGTATCAGGGCATTACGTTCCTCAACTTAGCCAAGTTATTGTTAGGTACAACTCAGCTAGTAAAGAAAATGCTATAAATCTGAAAGGTTTCATGGTATGGGTTCTAATTTTGCATAAAAATAAATATTTGATTTGTGTCACTTCTTATTATTAGTTTAATCTATATATCTCTGCTGCAGGTAGGAAATGCTCTGACGGATGATTATCATGATCAATTAGGGATGTTCGAGTTTATGTGGTCAACTGGTTTGATTTCGGATCAAACATACAAGCTTTTGAACCAACTTTGTGATTTTCAATCAGTTGAACACCCGTCACATGCTTGTGATAAAATTTGGGATATTGCTTATAACGAACTTGGAAATATAGACCCATACAGTCTGTATACACCACCGTGCCATGGCAATGTTAGTCAGCTAAGTGGGCTGGTGAGAAGAAAGAATGTAAGTGTGAATATATTTTAAATATGATTGTACAGTGCACGTGACAGGTTTGTAGTACATATAATTATTATTGTTGTGTTATGTCATGCTACAGAGAATTGGTAGACTCGGTCTCAATGCACCATATGATCCATGCACCGAAAGTCACTCCACTGCATACTTCAATCGACCTGAGGTCCAAACAGCTCTTCATGTTGATCTAGATCATAAGCCTGCTACATGGGATACCTGCAGGTAATGATCACTTGAGAAGCACTTGAAAATTTTCTATTTGCATCCACAGTATTTGATGCGAATATAAAATGATTTGATTTAAAACAAAAATATAGAAGGAAAAACAGAAAAGTGTAAGCTCCAAATAAGGTTTATGTGAACTGGGATGGGAAAGGCTTTAGAATGTCACAGGTGAAAATATTCTGTCTTGCTTTCTCTCCTATGGCAACATCCACCCTAAATTACTCTAGTGATCCCTTACCGTCTCCACCACACTGGACATATCTCATTCACCTTCTCTCCCATATCCATGCAATTTTTTCATCATTTCGTTGCTGCCAAGTGTTTGTTTGAGACACAATGGCACATTTCTCTTGAATAACTTTGCCCTACTCTTTGACTACATTTCTTAACTCATTCTCCGTCACCATGATTTTGTATGGTACTTAATACTGATCAATGTATGAATGATGTCATCGTACATCCTTATCTGTACAAAGCCTACACCAATTGTCTTACAAGAAGTATCTCTGCCCACCAAAATGTTATAACCTTTCAACTAATCAAATATGGTAAACCAGTCCCTTTGAGGACTCATGTGGTTCAACACCCACCTATCAAATCACTGTTGTCTTGAGACAATGCTCAACACGTGATCATCACAAATGACTCCACTTTCTGAGCTATAGATGCCAACTAATCCTATTTTCCCAATATTGGACAATCTATCTTCTAATGCCCCGACTGCTTGCAATATATGTAAGCATCTTTAGGATTAATCTATCTTCCTCAACTTTTGGATGTTGGGTTTTTCTTGAAGAACACCAACCCAAAAGAAGACGCATTTTCTACTCTCTCAAATGTTAAGGCGAAACTGCCTTGTCTAGAGGCTAGACTTCACCTCTTCATGCGTAATGCAATCCTTTCCTATACTCAAAAGAACTTGCCAAGTTCTAGTAGGATGATGAG